TGCTTGAGATGAATTGCCTTTAAAAAAGATTTTGTGTATATGTATGTACAATACATGTGTAATTGGCATACATGTAAGAATTAAATATTATGTGGGGAGGTGGGGGGGGTACCAAAATTTTAGAAATGCCAAAGTGGGACATGGCTCAAAATCGGTCAGGAACCACTGATATTGACAGATGTAGATTTCTAATACCTCCAGTTGACCATGTCATGGGTGTTAATGCTGTGCATTGAAATGCACTGCTACCCAATTACTAATGCATTCAGTCATGACCAATGCTGTAAGCATGTGAAAATTGCAGGTGCATTTAGCTGCTTCTAACCTTACAGGATTAAAAAAGAAATTTTCAGCTACTTGAACACAAGTGATTCTAATGCAAATTTATGTAGGTATTACCACATTAACACATATTTTTTTTTTTTAAACTATATGATTATAAATGCAATGTTGTCTGCCATGTTATCAGTTTAAATTCAATTATGTGTGTGTGTGTGTGTGTGTGTTAGTGTGCGTAACAAGCAATAAAATAGTCTTTGAAAATGTCTAGTATTAGCCGAAAGTGCTTAGACATGGGAAAGTTTGTATGTAAGGATTGAAAATTAGGAGATCAGCTGATTCCTCTACCTTGGTTTCAACCTTTCGGTATCTTCAGGTGATTTCAGTCAATTGATTTCCTAATGCTTCACTTCTTAAAAAGAAAAAAATTTTGAATGCTATATTTTAATAATAAATAAATGAATAAGCGTACAACATAAGGTATGGTAGGTGAGGAGGGGAAATCCAGTGTATTGGGAATGTATTGGTGGGGGGTTAAATGAAATATACATACATTCTTTTAATCCCACTTCAAATGAACTCAAAAGGAAATTTTTAGTATGTATACAATTGGACATAATTTCAGATCTCTGGTTTAAAAGTTTTTTGGGGTTTGAAAATGTTATTATAGTTAATTTTTCTTGTTGACAAATGTAGTTGTATTAGTAATGTGACAATACCAATGTTTTTACCGATTACAATACAATTCACAATACTGTTCTAAATTACCAATTCTGATACCGACAATGATTAAAATTCATTATTTTCATTTAGTAGAAAAATGAATAAAAAAAGCTTCTGAAATAAAGTTAGATATCCTTTTTTATTTAATTGGATAAGATTTAAACTATAAAAAAGAACAAATTTTACCTAGCTACCCATATTTATGTACTAAAATTCTTAAATTATAATGTAAGAACATTATCTCTCCTGTTTTGCCTTTCAGCCGATTTCTTTTTGGTAAGTAAATGTTACTTCCAATACTAAATAACCATTCACTTTCAACAGAAGAGGGAGGTGCTGATAGATATTTCCTGGCTAAAAGCACCATGATGGGAAATTCATTTTTATTTGAATTCCACCACTGAAAAGCATTATCACTTTTTATAATTTTTTAATGCAATATATTTTGCCATTTCATGTTTTAATAAATATATTACTATGCTTGTTTCACTGATTGCTTTACTCCTGTAATCTCGTACACATTGGCTCCCCTTTTCTTTCATCACTTTTTTTTTCCTTTAATTCACTAAGGCACTTCATAAAACTGAAATTAAAGTCACTATCATTATCACTTTTCTCTTCAGACATGTAAGACGAGTCATTCTTCGTGCCTTGTGATACTTTGGCTGAGGTGTCTTTTTTTCCTTCTGTTATAGAATAGATATCTTGAGTGAACCATTCTGCAATAGCCTTATGATTAGGTAGGCAACTGTAGTTATTTTCAAAGAAACCAGTCTTGAACCTGGGATCAAGATATGTTGTTAGAATAAGGTTTTCATCTTCCAAATAGAAGCTAAATCTAGCATTAAAAGAAGCTTTCCATGCTAAAAGGGTTGAAGCTAACCTATTAAACCGTCCCTTTTCTTCTTCCCTTTTAAAAAAAGTGATGACTAATGTCTGGTATAATATAAGAGGCACTTGCTTCTGTTACTTAAACAATTCATTTATTGTACATATTAAGTATTTTCAGTAATTTCCTTAAGAAATCTTCCATTGGTTGGAATCTAAACAATGTGGTTTTGCATGATCATTGCAATATGAGATAAGAGCATATTTTTGTTCAAATACTCTGGACATCATATAATATTAACCATTCCATCTTGTCTGGACATCCTGAATAAACTTATGATCTAGTGAATTCAATTTTTTTCTTCTGGTATTCCTGGTACTTTACAAAAGCTTCAGATGAGCGACTGAATTGCCCAACAAAATAGAAAATGGAAAGCATACCTTCACATACCTTTGTGCAAAGATAGCAGCATTAATGGTCAACTGAAAGGTGTGTAGAAAAAAAGGTAACAACTTGTATTAGGCTTGTACAGCTGCTGCCATATTAGCTGCATTATATCTTATGACAGCATGAATTTTACTATGAGAAATATTGCTGTACTGCCTCTGTGATACCCATTTTGGAAGCTATAAAGTTTTAACAAATATATGAATTTTATAGAAACAAATTAAGTTTCATAAAAAGAATGTTTACTTTTTTAAGTCTCAGTTATTGAAAAGAAAGAATTATTTTGTTTATGTAGTAAGCTACATAAACAAAAATAAATCATTCTGTCAGATTTAATCAACAAATCATTTTCTGGACATTATAATTATATGAAATTTTATTTTTAATTTCTACTGAAGTATAGCTGAAAATTTTAATTTTAAAACAAAATTTTATATAATATCCTAAATTTTTTTTCTAGGTTTTTAAATGCAAACAACACTTTCTTTTTTATAAATCAAAAAGGAATAATAAAAATTGACTTAAAAGAGAGCCTGGCAGAACATGAATCAATTTTGTGTTTATAATTATTAAATTAATAATTTATATTAAATAGGTGAATTAACAGTGTTTAAAAAGAAATAAGAATAAAAATTTTATTTTGAACTGAAACAGACTTTAAATTAGCAAACTTTATGGAAAGTTTGAAAACTGAGTAGAAACTTGCACATTCATTTTTTTTTTTAACACAAGTAAAATAATTTTACATCATTCTTAATTTAGGTGTTATTATGATCTATAAATTTTAGTTTTACTGACACTGTATATCTTTTTATCATTAGTACTGAGAATGGAAAATTAAGTTTTAAACAAACAAAATTCCAAAGAATTGTTTTTGAAATCGAAAATTAGATTAAAAATTCTCCAATGCCAATTCCAAGTTTTGATATCTCCAATTTGTTTGTCCCATCATAATATATATATATATATATATATATATATATATATATATATATATATATATATATATATACACACACACACACGCACACAAGGTATAAACTGTATAGCATGATATTTTGATAGGATATCAATTTTCCTTTAAAGAAGAATGTGCTGGAAGTGTTGATTTTTCTACAACTACCATAGATCTGTTATAGCCCTATTGAAAGCCAGTATTTCAGATGTTGATTCTCAAGGCATACAAGTCTTACCCACTTGGAAAACCAGCCAAACACAATTATCCTTCTCCAACATTTCCATAAATTTGGTCTTGTGACATTATGAGGCCAAGCTGAGTATATTGCAAGAAGCATGTACCAAAAACAAACAAAAACCTCAAATATCAGTCAATATTTTGTCCATTTACCACCAACCATTATACTGATAATTACATAATCTCCACCTCACTTGACATGATTTACAGCCTTTCACTGAAGCTGCCTTAAAAGCCTAAGTGGTATTGTTAGTAGTATTAGTAGTAGTAGTGAGAGCGATAGTATTGCCAATTTAGTTGATTATACATGACAATAAGTAGAGAAGCAGAATAACAAAAATAATCTGTTGAGAAAGAAAATATGTTTACCTTGGAGTCAATTGATGACAGATTTCATTCAATTAACAAATAGATTTGCCGATTTAATTGCAAATACAAAGCAATAAATTATAAATCAAGACAACAAATATTGATGCCAGTTTGAGACGCGGATTCTCTAAACAATGTTTAGGAATTGCAGTTCATTAACCTCTTTGATGGGATAAAAGACGAAAGAATATTGCATTACTTTGCTCAAAATGGCTTTGCCTTATTGAATTTCTATATTTATTATAGACGGATTCTTTGGAATGCATTTTCTTGCCTTTATGAAACAAAGTGAATTTGATGTCTCCAGCCTTTTTAATAATCTAAGAGCCAAACCAATATATCAAGATCTTTACTTCATCTAACTGCTATATTTATGAAACAAAGAATCATTATCAAAGATTCTCCTGGAATTGTTTTCGGAATTCTAATTATAATATTTTGGTTATTAACTTACTTCCTTGGGTATCTGTTATATTTAGTAATCACCCAAAAATGTCAAAAGAAATCCAATTTTTATCCCTTTGGACAGGGCTGGATTTAGGCCTTATGAAGTACCTGGATTAATAGAAATTAGGTGGACTCTTCATTATATATATTCGATCACAATGAAGCTCCTCCAATGATGCACTGAGGCTCATTTTCTCAACAAGGAATAAAAGAATTTATTTCACAGATGGATTTTATTTTTGTTTATAATAATTGTTTGTGACAATTTAATTTTGTATATATTTGAACAAATTTTTATTTCATCTCCAAAAAATGCAACATTATTTTCTGACTAACACACAATAATTAAGTTTTATTTTACCTCTCTTAATAATCTCAATATATCAACAGAATTTGTAGAAAAATCAAAGTTTCTCAAAAGTACACATGATGTTTCTTTGTGGTAACCACATTTTTAAATGTCACATTTTCATTTGCTAAGTGCTGTCTAAATTACATTTACCAGTGGGAGACATAAATATTGCAATTGAGTGTGGAAAAAAAAAAAAAAAAGAATTTCTAAAAAGTTAGATTTTATTCTTAATCGAACATATTTTTATAACTTCACTAGTTATTGAAGTAATAAACATGTTAGGTTAAAAATAAAATCCTTTAATTCTTTAGAAATTGCTTTGTTTACTTTTTGAATATCGCACTGAGCAGATAAGCCTTTCAAAAAAATCTGAACACTATACAGTGATAGAGAGATAGACACAGAAATAGACATGCAGAGATAGATAGATAGATAGATAGACATGCAGAGATAGACATGCAGAGATAGATAGATAGATAGACATGCAGAGATAGACATGCAGAGATAGATAGATAGATAGACACAGAGATAGACAGATAGATAGATAGACACAGAGATAGATAGATAGATAGACATGCAGAGAGAGATAGATAGACATGCAGAGAGAGATAGATAGACATGCAGAGAGAGATAGATAGACATGCAGAGAGAGATAGATAGACATGCAGAGAGAGATAGATAGACATGCAGAGAGAGATAGATAGACATGCAGAGAGAGATAGATAGACATGCAGAGAGAGATAGATAGACATGCAGAGAGAGATAGATAGACACAGAGAGAGATAGATAGACACAGAGAGAGATAGATAGACACAGAGAGAGATAGATAGACACAGAGAGAGATAGATAGACACAGAGAGAGATAGACAGATACACATACAGATAGAGAACAAAAATTAAATTGCTCTAATTTCAGTCCAGTACTTTTCAATGTATGACGTTACAGTAGCAAAATAATTTGTTATCTGCTCTTGGACAAAGAAATTCTCTCATTAGCTATCTTGTCAGCCAGTTCCAAAGGATTAATTCTTCTTCCCATGGTAATTTACTGTGGCTCCTCTGTAATGAAACCACTTATTTAGATATGATTAAGTAATAGAGTTCAATGCTCACTAGGTGGTCTCCTGCACAACTAGACCAGAAATATATTATCAAAAATTAGATTAATAAAAGAAGATAAAAATGACTAATTCAATTACAAGCAACTTGAACTACAAGATAAACTATAATCAGTGTGTCATGACCACAATTGCATCTCTATAAAAATTATAGATTGTTTTGCAGAGAATCCATTGAACTAATCAACGATTCAAGATGATAAATTCAATATCAGATTTTTATGAGTTTTATTTCTGAAGTTCTGTATAAACTTTAAAATTTATTTTCTCAGCTGGTAGCTTTTAATGAAAAGATATGTCTCTTTACCTTATGGAATTTGAATTATTATAAATATCCTCATTCTGTTAAATTAAAAAAACATACAAAAATATGCACTTAATTATATAATTGAATTAAAAAAGTTGTAATTCTAACAATATATTTATTAATATATAATCTTATCTCATGTATAATGCAATCCCTACTTTATACATGCAAAGAGTGTTATACTTGTAAAGATTACTATATATGATTATGATCAAAATCCATCCATACCCTTGTCATAAAGATTACTACAAATGATAGATGATTAGGATCAAAATCCATCCATACCCTTGTCAAGAGAGCATAATAATAACTTACTTTCTTTATTAATGCACAATGTAATTATATGTATAATGCAATCCCTACTTTACTATACATGTATATTGAGCTGTTTAAAACCATTATAAAGTAACTATAGATAATTAGGTTATAAATCCATCTATACTGAGCATAATAAAAACTTACTGTATTTATTCATGTATAATGCAATCTCATGTATAATGTTATCACCTATATTTGTATGTCAAAAGCATGATTCCTTATAATAAGGGTAAACAAAGTAGCATATAAACTTAATAACATTTCAAAATTGGTACTTCATTGTAAAAGATGACCTTACGAGACTGGGTTGTAAGCAATCTGAGTTGGATTTTAAAGCTCTGTTTAGATGGTATAACAAGAAGAAATTATAAGGCATATTTGTGATGTATGCGAATAACTTCCTCATATTTTCTTGCAATAGGATTAATGACAATCCTGTTAAAACCATCAGCAAAAGATGCGAAGTCTGTAAGTGATTCAAAAAAGATTCCTGCATAACCATTGGTGTCTCTTCCTTTGGCTAAACAATTTACTGATGTAGTAGCAATGGATTTAAAGCAATATAGATGTGTACTTTCTGCATTCAATTGATCTCTCTTCACAAGATTCAGCAAATGCAAAGTAATTAGAAAAAAAAAATCTCTAAAGTAATTATAAATGTGTGTGTGGAATTAGATGTTGCTCTTGCATATGCAATCAATGCTAAAAACTGTTTGTAAAACCATCAGTTTCAGCAAATAGAAAATCATCAACATGCATCTCAAATATTCCTTGTAATTTCCTGTTGTTATACCATCTAAACAGGGCTTTATCAGACTGATTGCTTACAACCCAGTCTAATAAGGTCATCTTTTACAATGAAATACCAATTTCAAGACGTGTCATCAAGTCTATATAGTGTTTGTTTAGCTTTCAAATAACAGTCTTCCTTTATTTCTATAGGTAGCATGAAAAATATATCTCTATCACGTTGCCTGCCCTGTAAAAATGAAGCTTTAATATCAATTGTTTCAGAATCACTATTTAAATACACATGAAAATGGTGAAATGTTCAAATATTAGTTTGGCTGATCCATCATCTTATATCCTCAAAATGCTTTTAGAAGCTAGTGTAAACCCCAGACTTGTATTTGGTTACTTAAAAGGGAGAAAGTCAGACAGAAATTAAGCCTAGCTTAGTTTTCACATAAGGCAATAAATATAAGATGCTCAGTGAAGATCAAACTCATTATCTAGTAATAAGACTAGAGTGTTAATCATTACACAATACTCAAGTATAGCATGAGATTTTAGGACCAGTTTTTACACAAAAAAAATGGGGTGGGTCACACTATACACAGGTAATTTTTTTTTTTTGTAAGAGATTAAAAGTCATTCATTTTTTTTTTCTATAGTGGTTAAAATTCATGCCAAAAAATTCAGTGGTTGCACTATGATTGAAGTTTGCTTATACACAAATATATATATATATATATATATATATATATATGGTATGTGGATACAGATGTGCTTCATATAAAGAAAAAAAAATATCACTGTTAAAACCAAACATTTACAAGCATGCTGTCTTACACTCTGGCGGACAAAATCAGAAAATAAGAGGTCACCTCAGTTGGTATAAGCACCTAGACATCAGAATAACCATAAAGAGTGAGTGGTAATATCTGACAGCACACAATCAATACAGCCTGCTTGTGGCCTGGACAATTTTTTGAGTAGAATGCATAATAGACTATTTTGTGCAGAAAACAAGACTTCAATCAGTTTATTTTATAAAACATGAAATTGCCTTAAGTTATTTTATATGTTTCTCTATTTTAATAGAAAATTCATATGATAAGTAATATTCTTAGGGTGCATATTTTTTTATTTGCTATCAGGAAAAAGCAGAAAAAGAAAAAGTCAAGGATTTATTCAAAAAAAATTAAAATATTATAAATGAAACTGTAGTTTCATAGACAATCTTAATGATTACATATTTTCCAGTGGTCAGTGTTTTGTGCCAAAATAAAAAAAAAAAAAAAAAAAAGCTGGACAATGTGATAGGGCTTGATTTGGCATCTAGTCTACAATCGCTTTCCCACAGACATGCCGTCACTTCCCTCTGTCTCTTCTACAAGTATTTTCATGGCAACTGTTCCAACAAGCTACCAAGCTGGCATCTCGATCTCAATCTTTCACTGTCAAAACAGTTAAATGTAAATGTCTCTTCTACTCAAACAGTCTCTTCTCTCACACTTCCCGTCTGTGGAACTCCCTTCCACTTGCTTGTTTCCCTGATGACTATAATCTTCAAATATTCAAGTGTAATGTCAATCGACATCTGATACCCTGAGCTTGTTCCGTGTCATTCTCTGTATCCTTTCCTCAAACACACCTCTTTACTCTTGTTCTCAATCATCTTTAACCCCTTGTGTGCTAGTGGCACTTCCGCCTTGCTTTGGGGGGGGGGGGGATTGCTTAAAAAATAATATATGCATGCTAGTTTTCTAAGCAAGTAGCAAAGCACCCTCACATTCCCTTCCCTTTCCATTGATGAGATGTAACTTCCACTCAAGCAGCTTCCCACAAACTGCTGTTTTGTGAAACCAACTCCCAAGAGAATGCTTCCCAGATAACTTAACCTGTTCAAGTCTAGGGTTAGCCTTTATCTTCCCCACATATCTGCCAAAACTGTGCCTCTTACTCTGTAACTCTCTACCTTAAGTGGTTATCTGGTCTGAAACATTGCAAAAAAAAAAAAAAAAAAAAAAAGATCACCCTGCTTGGAAAATAGATACAACAATCTCTGTACCTACATTTCTTGTTAGTATTTTGCCATACCAAACTATTCAGCACTTAGCCAAGAAGTAATGGTTAATGACCTAGTTCATTATGAATGTGCATAGAAATCAATCCTCCATACTTAAGGTCACATGTCTTAAGCTAATCTTACTAAACATCAAAGAGCATGTTACTGGAAACCAATTAGCAAACTACTCTTGCTAATTTATTACTCTTGTGATTTTGATCCTTACAGGGTGCCCACATCTGCAGCCTTGTGCCATACTAGGTGAGGCTTAATATGTAATAAAACGATTTTACAAAATATTTTTAAATTAAATTTTATTTTTAGAACAGACTGGAAGGTTTCCATTGATTAACCCCAGCCACACCAGCACTATGTAACTACCCCACTCCTCACATTTCAGCCATAAAATGAGCCAAATTTTCTGTTAGAATTACTATACACATCTAGACTATATGAATTCGAGCTCAGTATTAGATTGGCCTAGATGTAACCATAAGTTTTATGCTAACACTTTCCTCGCACTTCTTGCTTGTGGAACTCTTCTGGCTTCTTGCTTCCCAGTCAGGTTTGACCTTCAAAAATTCAAATGCAACATCATTTGTTATCTTCTGTCTTCTTAATTTCTGCTCTTTTATTGTTCTCACCCTTTAATGTTTTTTGTACATTTTTTAAACTCAGTAATCCCCTGTGTGTTAGTGGCTTTGTTGCCTTGCTTGAGGTGAAATGATTTAAAAAAGGAGAGCAATCATTACCTTTCAACAACAACTTGCAATCACTTACATCTTTATTCTTGTCTTTCTGCTAAAGCTCGTTTTCCAAATCATTTTCATTGCAATATACAATTTATACTAGTTTCCACAAACCTATACTATGCTCTGAGTAATAGACTAAAGTAGGCAAGACTTTCAGTAGCAAGAAATAAGGTTTGTCAACTTATCTACAAGAGAAAAATCTTGGATTTCACTAAAAAGTTATAACCTTTGTTGTCTATGGCTTTAAGTAACACATACAACATTATTTAGACATTTGAATCTCTTCTTGGTATAGTTGTTGCTAATGTTAACACAATATTGTATACCTGACACTATAGGAATATACTAGTCTGGCAGATACATTAATGAACAATATCACTCATCTACAGTCGCTCTCCCACAGACATGCTGTCGCTTCCCTCTGCCTTTTCTACAAATACTTTCATGGTAACTGCTCTGATGAGCTACTTTCACTAGGTCCCAGACTGCATGAATCTAAACGTGCTACTAAGTCGGCATCTCGGTACCACCCTTTCACTGTCAAAACGGTTAAATGTGGTTGTCTCTTCTACTCTAATAGCTTCGTCTTGTA